TCAAGTTCCTATCTTTACTCGTGAAAATAGAATTAAAACATTAATATATACATATCTACGAAATGTAAATATATTTTTAGTTAACCAAAAGCACGAAAGACACGAGAAATCTTTGTCAAGCTCAAATTTTGATATCTATGGTTCTTTAAGGGACCATATCATTAGTATCTTTCAAGCTTCCCTTTTGGCTAAAATATGTGAGGTTTCAATGCTTTTGTATGTCCCCACTTAGTTGCCTTTTACGCTTTTTAGCTCTTTTTAGGTTCACCTTCTTCCTTCTCAAAAGTTCTTCATTATTATTATTTTTCTGTGTTTTTCCCTTCTATATTATAATCATTATCGTTAATTTTTCGTTAAATGATTTAACAAATAATATGGTTACGTAGATGTCTCCATAAAGAAAAGTTTTATTGATATCGAGTTGATGGACTGATCAAAATATATTCCGCTCATAGCGGATTGAAATGCTTTTTTGTATTATTAGTAAAAAAATTAAATTAAAAAGAAAATTGTCTAACAAAAAAATCTTCTATTAAAAGGATTAACACACAAATAAAAATAAATAAATATTTGGGTAATATATTTGAATTAGTTAATTATTAATTAAATTAAATTAAATTAAATCTTATGTTGTTCCTAATCTAATTTTTTTTATATGGTTCATTTATCACGATGGTATTATTTTAATAATTAAAATATGGAGTTTTCTATTTTTTTTAATTAATTTATTATCCAAGTCGGTAAAAAATGGGCGTGAGGAGGTAGTTTTGTTTAAATCCATGAGTCCAAACGCGTAAATATAAATTTGTGGCGGTAAACAGTAAGATTCTCCGCCCCCACAAAATCATTTTTATTTTCCAATATTATTATTATTTTTCACTAAATAATATAACGATAATTAATAAAAATTATATATATATATATATATATATATATATATATATATATATATATATATATATATAATTTATCGTATTAAAAAAATTGTTGTATTTGTAGAAACATTAAAATAAATTAATATATATTTGATTTATAAGCATTATTCGGATTTAAAAAATATTAATCATTTGTAATAATCTATCAATATTTTCGAGGCGTATACGTCTTGTCTCTCGTCAAATATTTTAGTTAGCGTGTCCCTCTCGTCAAACATTTTATTTCTTACGATCGACACGTGTTTTTTGCTTTTATGTTTGTAACTAACCATTTAGTTGAGGTTAGAATAATTCTTAAAAATGCTAAAATGATAAACGCTTTATATTCGAGTATATGGGCTCCAAAATGGATAAGATTGTACGGTCTATAGTCTCACTCGCGGGTCCATTATAATTAAAATGTGACCATTACTAATTACATATTGGTGTGACACGTGCACATTTTTCAATGTACATTGAAAAAATCATTTTTGACATTTTAAAGTGTGATGTGATGTTTTTTGAGGTGGTCTGTGAGATCCTACATCGGTTGGAGAAGAGAACGAAACATTTCTTATAAAAGTGTGGAAACCTGTTGCTAGCAGATGATTTTTAATAACTTTGAGAGAAATCACAGGACAAATTTAAGGACGAACTTCTAATTTTTAAAATATTCAATAGAAATTTTATCTTAACTAATTAAACTACGGGTTGGGATTAATAAATTATTATATATAAAAATAGATATATATACATTTAGAAAATAAAATTTGTGGCTCATATGCGAATTAGATAAAAATTGGAGGGTTATTAAATTTAGGATTTTTTCTTCCTCACTTTTTTTTTTTTAATTTTTATTTTCATTTACCAATTTTTATTATTTTCCCCCTAAATTTTCTGGCATTTTCCATTATTTTCTCTTCTATAAATTCATCCTTTCCCTACCGTCCTCAACCTCCTCCTTTTCTGTCCGCCGCCACAACCGCCGGATTTCCGCCGTTAGTCGGAATTTCATCCCCATCCTTTATAGATGTTCAATCTCTTGTTGTTCTTGATGTTTCAGATTCATGTCTGCGATTCTCAGTGAAATTCTCCGTTCTGGTTTTATGATAAATTCTTCTCTCCGCCGCCGTACGCATCTTGTTCAGTCTTTCTCTGTAGTCTTCTTGTACTGGTTCTACGTATTCTCATGAACTTCCTTCATTCCTCACCCTAAGATTAGCGCGATTACACTAGATCGATTGCCGATTTGAGATTCTTAATTTCTTTGTGTTGCTATCATCGTCGTTCCGGTTTAGGTTTTCGCTTTCTGTGGTAGATTAGATCATCTGTAATCGATAATCTTTGTGTTGTGCTCTGCTGTAAATTTAGTTGTTATCATCTTCATCTCTATGGCTTCTGCAAGTGGAAATTCCTCTGGTTCCACTAGGCTTCAAAACTCAGGCTCCGAAGAGGATTTGCAGGTTCTTATGGATCTGAGGAAACGGAAAAGAATGCAATCGAATCGCGAATCGGCGAGACGATCTCGGATGAGGAAGCAACAGCATCTGGACGAATTGATGGCGCAAGTGACTCAATTAAGGAAGGATAACGCTCAGATTCTTTCCAATATCAACACTACCTCGCAGCTTTATATGAACGTGGATGCTGAGAACTCGGTTCTGAGAGCTCAAATGGCCGAACTGACGCAGAGATTGCAATCACTCGAAGAGATCGCTAATTTCATCAACACCGGCGGTAGCAATGGCGGATTTGGAGAAACAGAGGAGGAAGCATTTCAGATTCAGACAAATGTGGCCGCCAATAGTTTCATGAGCCCGATGAATTTCCAGTATGTGAACCAGCCGATCATGGCCGCTGCTGATATCTTCCATTATTGAATTCTAAAGCTTAAATTTCTTGATCTGATCTGTGTGTTGGAAAAATGTGGATCGATCTTCTGGTGATTTCCTTAGGGGAGCAGAAATGTGGTCTTAATTGAAATTATTTTTGTAAAAGGGGGCCTTTCTGCAAACATCATCAAACTCATTCCTCTTTTAATTATAAACTCTTAATTTACTCCTTGATTCTTTTTTTATTATTACCTTTTAAACATGATCGGAGATTGGAACCTTTCTGTCGTTTTTTTTATACGAACTTGCTAATTACCTTTTAAAAAAATTATGAAGATATTTTCATATAAAAATGCGAATTTGACGGTTATCTAATATTTGTAACTTCATTCCATATTTCTTAATAAATGGCATGCGTATGATTTCAACAAAGTTGGTGGCATAGCAAGTTTTTCTTGAGTTGCCAATTTAATTATCATTTTGATTTTTAGAGAGATGAAATCGTTTCTTTCTTGATGATGAACTTTATCTCCTATTATCTCATTGGTCGATCTTGATCTCTTTTGTTTTGAGATTTTATCTAGTATTTACCATTGTCTCGATTTAGTATGACTTGACCTTTGATATTTTAAAATCATATCTAACCTTTTAAATTTGTTTGTCTAATATTACTCCTGTGGCCGGCATCAAAACCCTGTATTTAATATATATTAGTGGTACTTTTTGGCAATTTACAAGGAATATGAGGGGTTTTTGATAAAGGATTGGTCAACAATATGAGTTGTAATTTGGATAATTGGCCCAAAATTTTAAAAGAGAGTGACATTTTGCTTCCCACTCAAACCATATGCATATGTTTGGTTGGGGTTTCAAATTTGCCCTTTTCCATTCCCAACCACTTCTCAATCTTCACATTCATTATTATTATTATTATTATGTTTTTTTAAGAACGATATTAAAAAATAGATTTATTTCATCAATTTGTCGGTGTTAGTAAATTGACACATCACGTTTGAAAAAGGGTTATATAAATGAACGAAAAAATTAGTCGATAATAGAAATATTGGATTCTCAATTTTCCTAAAAATTTTAATAAAAATTCAAGGAATGAATTTTTAAAAAAAATTATTTATTTTGTATTTCATTAATTTTTTTTACAATAATAAAAACGTTCGATTCATTCTTTAAGTCAACTTTCGATCGAGCTCATAAAAATGGATTAAATTTTATATTCCTTCAAATGTATTGGGTCACCCGTCAACATCTTTTTAAAATGACGTGGATTCTACAAAGGAATATTAAAAAAAGTAATTATATATAAATAAAACCATAATAAAAACAATCAATCTAGAAGAGAACATAATTTGTCAGAAAATGGAGAGAGGGGCATTTCTGTCTTTAGGACTCGTTTGAGCTCTGTGGAGGTCGGTGGCTTTTTGGTGCAATTAAGGGTCGTGTTTTTTTTTTCAGACAAAAAGGATTCAAAACAAAAAAACAGCTGCTCTTTTCCATCTCCCCATGAGCCAATTTCCTTTTTTATTTTTTAATTTTATTTAATTAACCTTTAATTGCTCTTGTAATTTGGTATTTTTTTTTTAAATTTATATAAATACTGTGTTTGTTAGTATTAGACTTGGACATTCTTCATAACATTGAATTATAATTTTATTTATTCTTCAACAACGTTTTTTTTTTAAAAATAATTCAACTAAATTGGAAGTATTAATTATCATAATTCAAAATATAAAAAAAAAGGTTAATTTGAACTTCAATTATGCTTTTATTTAGTTTTTTTCATTAACACTAATAATAAAAAAGATGACATAATGTTGTTATATACTCATTTAATAAATTTAGCACACCAATATTATTAATAATTATAAACAAAAATAAAGAAGCCTTGTAAACAAATCTAAATTATGTTGTAGCCCATATAGCCCATTTTTTGGGCTGGTTAACAAATGGGCCAAGCCCAATGGCAAAACAAAGCGATTAAATTAAAATGAAAAAAATGTCAGAAGTGGGATTTGAACCCACGCCCTCTCTCGAAGACCAGAACTTGAGTCTGGCGCCTTAGACCACTCGGCCATCCTGACATTGTTGACACATGGCTTGCATTTGTTATATTTCATCACTTAAATAAACACCAAACTTTTTCTAGAATTTATGTTGAAGCATCCAATCTCCAACAAATCATTCTTAAACAAAAATTTTGTAAGTAGAAAGGCAGGAACAAATCCGAGCATAGATCAATGAATTACGACCTTAATTACTATCCCAAAGATTAATGGTCCGATCGCTTGCTCTCAAGACTCACTCCGAGCTCCATTTTCATACGTACATTACACACTTTTATCACCCATTCCACCCCTACTGATAATAACACTTACCTCTACTTGCATCGGTGATGGTTCGACTTTATCGGGCCACTTTTTCTCGACCAGATCCTGAGAATATGAGAAAACTTCTTCCCTTGGACCTGAACGAGCTGGATCGCCGTCGACTATGTTGTAGACTCTCCTGCAAAAGAAATATAAAGTGGAGGAGAGCCAATCGTCTTCAACCATGCCAAAACAACAACATTCTATTCTCTTCCTCTTTTTCTTAGTGATAATCTAAGAGTGACTTCAGAAGGAAGCGCACAAACAATGTCGTTGCACAGAAATGCCATTCGCCAAGTTGGGGCAAACAAAGCCGTCCGCCCCTCCCCCCAAGACAAGTAAATGCTTGAACTTAAGTGAAAAGGGCTTCCTACACGGGAGTTCGACCCTATGCACCAAGAACAAAGCCTGCCTTGAATAGCCTACTAAAAGATACTAATAGGAACTACTAACAGCTATCAAGACCGGATCATCTCGATCAAACCATCCAAATACATAATTCATGTGTAAGAAACAATATAATCCAGATATTGGCCATGAGCTTGCAGCCGAGATCATAAGGATAGCACATATTCAATTTTCGTTCTCTCTCAAAAAATACATATAGGAGCTTACTCTGTATCATTTGCATCAAAACCCTAATAATCATGCTCCATTTCATTAACTCAAATTCACAGTAGTCAACGATCTTCACACAACATGAATCAATACAACAAATAATCCAAATTCGTAAGATATTAAACGATAATTCTCTAATTTCTACAAGTTCTACGAGGCATTATTGAAATTAAACACAAAACACTAAGAAATGCAGAGATTTTACCATCTCGAGTTCTTCAGTTCTTGCACGAAGAACTCTCCAACGAAACCCAGCCCTAGAATAAACGAGCGATTCTGGATTTGAATTCTTCGTCGCCGCTAGGCAGTGAAAATCGACGAAATTCTAAGAATTTCCGCCGCCTTTGAGGGAAATTGCTAGATGATTCCAACATAATGCATAAAATTCATCCCATCTTTTAAATTTAAATTTTGTGTTCAAAATTTTTCATTCTAGCATAATTAAATTAAAAAAAAAAAAAATCAATTTATTCCGTAACTTAAATTTTATTATTTTGATTCATGTATTTATTCATTTTTTTAAAATCAAATTCGATCAATACTAATAATAATTTTTATTTAACGTAGTACTCCAAGTTTAAAAATTTATAATTTAATTCCGATAATAATATTTTCATTAAAAAAAAATTGATATTATTATTTTTATTTACTCCAACCGTCCATAATTGAAAGTAAAAGAAAACCATTTAAATAATCATAAATATGATGGAACATAATTGAGGTAGTTGTTTGTTACCACTTATATCCACTCTCTTCATTCATATATTTATAATATGCCAAAAAAAAAATTAATTTCCAACAAAATTAGGTTTAAACCAATCACCTAATTTATTTTTGAATAAATTTAAAAAATAAATATAATTCAACTGGTTAAAATATATATTCTTGTTAAAACATCGTCACGAGTTAGAATTTATCACTTAATTTTTTACTGTTTTAACGCTTATCGAGATACTCATAGAGATTCGAACTATTACCTTTATATATATAACAAATGGGCTTTCTAGCACATGTGGTCTAGTTGCACCAAAAAACTAACTTTTGAATTAAATGAGAATATAAAGAAAAAAAAATAATAAATGTTTTCATAAATGAAAAAAACCCAACTGGTTGACTCTTCTCTCTCATTGTTAAGCTTTCTACATCTCTGATCTTTCCACGAGCTCTGCTACCTTGGAGCAGCCATGGCGGTCTCCACGGGTCGAGATCCCGACGTAATAAACGTCGTCGTTTTGGGTGTAATAGCTTGGACATTGGCTTTCATTTCCTTCAGAAAACTCCTTCCAAACAGATCCTTTGAGTTCTGCAACCGCCTTGTCTCCACGCTCCATGCTTGTTTGGCTGTCACTTTGGCTTCCATCTCTGTGAAGAATTGGCGATGCCCCATTTGTCCTCTCGCTTCTCAAGCTTCACCCTTTCAGGTACTTTCTTCTTCAGATCTTTGTACGACGTCGTTTTGTTGTTCTTGATGAATTAGATATGAAATGGGGGTTTTTTTAAGCTGTTAAAAATGGTGGATTTGTTCGCCAGATGCAAACATTGGCTGTGACCTGTTCTTATTTGATCTATGATATGGTGTGTTGCCACTTTGACAAGAAAGTGAATGTGGACAATGCCATCCATCACTTGGTTTGCATTGTTGGAATTGCAGCTGGCTTTGCTTATCAAAAGGTACTCTTTTTTCTCGATCCCTAAATTAGGCTCGGTTTCAACTATTTATGCTTCGAAGAAGTTAAAAAATCTTCTTTTCTTAGCATGGGTGAGTTAACTATCATGGGTTTGGGTCAAGTTGGTTGAATCACCTACTTAAGATAGGGTATCTTATGAGATACGGTATCTTATGAGTTAACGTTGATGATTTCATTGTCGTGAACATGTAGTGTGGGTCAGAGATGGTAGCAGCGTTATGGATAACCGAGATCTCAAGCCCCTTTCTCCATTTAAGGGAAATTCTCAAAGAAATTGGTGACAGAGGCACGGACCTTAATTTGGCCGCTGATGTAAGTCATCGCTCAGTTAATCGAGATCATATGCTTAAATCTATTCAAATGAATATCAAACGAAACTTAAAGCTAATATGATATTGATTCGATGACAGATCGGATTTGCTGTGATATTTTCATTTGGAAGAATGGTTGGAGGGCCTTATCTCACCTACATGACTCTATCCGCCACCGGCGTCCCTCTTCTTATTAAGGTAGCAAACATCAAAATGCATATTCTCCATAAAATTTAGTCGTGACTAGAGAAAATGATCATGAGCTCGTAAATACCTTTATCAACTACTTTGTTCAACTTTCACTAACCAAATAGTTCATATAATTCACAGGCCATGGCTCTAGGATTGCAGCTTGTCAGTGCCTACTGGTTTTACAAGATCGTGAGAATGGTCAGATTCAAACTCAACAACAGATCTACATCGAAGAACAGTTAATCTCAGCTAAGGAATCAACAAAAAGATAGAACTCTCGCAATTTTATGTTCATCAAATCCCATCAGTATCTTGGGAACAGTGACACTGCAAACAAAAACAGTGCAAGAACTTTGCAATGAACTGTGTATTCCGTAAACTGAGCTGCAGATGATCACGTTTAGATTAATGAAAATCACAACGAACCATTTCATCTCAGCTTTATATCTTTTCAATGAGTACATTAACAAGAAAGATTAAGGCAGGGTGAATAACAATCTGTTTAGCACACAAGAACAGGGAATAAAAGAAGGAAGAAAGAAGAATGGCTAGATTTTCATGAATGTTCATATCATCGTCTGTGATCAGATACAACAGGTTCCTATAGTTCGTAGAAAAACATAATTGATACCAGGAATAGCTCATTTTTTGCATGCATCCCAAGAGTGCATTGTTCCCTGCAAAGATTTTGGCTACAAAGACTCCTTACATTGCTTTAATCCTTTCCAAAATCGGCGTTGTAGTGCGAACTGGACTCGAGTTTCTTTGCTTCGTTCAGTTTCCGTACTGCCTGAACATCACAAGACAATGAAAGTGAGTATGAGAAGAAAATGCCATCTCTCTGTAGGGATCTGTTCGAATACAATGGCTACTAAAGCGAGAAAGAAAAAGTAACCTTCATGAAATCTTCGTGGATGACATAGTCGCGTTCGGCTCGAATAGCCGACATTCCAGCTTCGGTGCAGACATTCCGCATATCAGCTCCATTAAATCCCTACACAGAGGATAGTTTTATGCATTACAGATTATGGACAAAGCTACTAAAAGAAATCAATTAAACAAGAAAACTAGCAGGGTTACCTCTGCAAGCTTTACAACAGCTTCATAGTCGATTTCACCATGCTTGGCAATTCCAGCAGCATGAATCTTAAGGATCTCCGTTCTGGATTGCTCATTCGGCAAAGGTATCTCAATTTTACGGTCCAATCGTCCTGGCCGAAGAAGTGCAGGGTCCAGAACATCCGGTCTGTTTGTAGCCATTATCATTTTGACCTATGGTATCCTCAAAGTAATCGTCTTGTGTTAGGAAAACACAAATTTGGAGAAAGATAATCGCAGTAAGAGAAATCCGAATAAGGAGACAAACAGTTAAGTCATGGCATGATCGGGAACATGATCAAGATCAACACCTCATACTTATATCTTCACAAGGCAACATTTCGTTTGTTTTTGTGTAGATATATGGTTTTCTCAGTTTCTTATAAAAAAAAAATATCTTCACAAGGCATACGACCTTATATCACACAGGCAAGACAACCAAAATCAGAAAAAGAACACTTTGTATATGCCGAAGACCAGAAATTCAGTATACAGCCTTGGCTACTAGTAGGAGGATAGTCGTAAGATTCCACGTCGGTTGGGGAAGAAAACGAAGCATTTTTTATAAGGGTGTGGAAATCTCTTCCTAGCAGACTCGTTTTAAAAACCTTGAGGGGAAGCTCGAAAGAAAAAATCCAAAGAAGACAATATCTACTAGCGGTGGGCTTGGGATGTTACAGTCCACTATACTACACCTCGGAAATTCAGTATATAAACAAAAATACTATAAAAATTTTCATTCAGTCGTTTTAAAAACTTTTAATACAAAAACAGTTATAACAATTAAAGAATCACAGAAGTAAAAAGAATCACAGAAGTAATTCAACGAACATCGTCTAGGTTAACACATTTAAGATATAGTATTCTATCAACTTTAAAGACCCCTCATCTCATAGGATTTTCGGGTACCGATGTTCGTAAGATACTTGAATATCTAAATATCAAAGATACCTTCATAACAAACGTTGGAATCTAAATATGTAAGAGAAAAGTCTGGAATTCCCAAAAGAACAAACAAGGGATCAGAAGATTTGGACATACCTTACCAAGTTGATCAAAACCATCAAGCTGATTAAGTAACTCCATCAACGTTCGCTGAATTTCACGATCTGCACTTGTTCCTTCACTGAATCTCCGCCCACCAATGGCATCAATCTCGTCCATAAAAATTATGCAGGGCTAAGCAAAGAAAAGATTAGTGTATGACTTATGAGTCACAATTTTCGTACAAAATCATAACAAAACAAGTTCATACCACATCAGAACTTACCTGGTGATCACGTGCATATCCAAACATTTCACGGATTAACCTCGCACTTTCTCCAATGTACTTATCAATTATAGCACTCGATACAACCTAAAGCAAAGATAGAAGCTAATAGTTAATAGTTATACCTTAACTAGGAAGGAGGGGAAGATTAAAGTTGGCATCCATTTCAGTATTTGGAGAAAATTCAACCTTTAAGAAGTTGGCATCTATGTTGCTTGCAATTGCTCTTGCTAACAATGTCTTGCCAGTACCAGGAGGGCCATACAGAAGAACACCCTTTGAATAAAAATGCAGAAACTATTAGCCAGAAAACCAGAATTTGGTAAACCCGTCAACCGTGCGCGCGAGAGAGGGAATACCTTGGGAGGTTTGATGCCAACTCTAAGGAAAAGCTCAGGATTCATGAGAGGTAGCTCAATGGACTCCCTAAGTTCCCTAATTTGATCAGATAAGCCACCCACAGCAGAATAGCTAACATTGCCAGGATCTTCGCGCAACATATTATACACGACGGGATCTACCTATCAGATCAAATTAGATCAAAACATTTAGGGCAATCGTGCATTAGAGGTTACTACCTTCGTTCCTTATCCTATATAATCATGGAGTACACACAATAAATCTAACTTACTTCACGTGGAAGAGCCCTCATAATGGTGAGTGTTGTCATATCAAGAACAACTCTAGTACCAGATGTTAATTTTTCTTTATCCACCTTACTGCGGCATCCAACCACATACCTCGGTCCACTGCTTGCTTTGACAATCACTGAAATCACAAAGACAGAGACATCCACCAACATTATCAACCAATTTGAGGTAACTTTCCATATGAACAAATACAAGGAATAACAAGAAAATATACAGCGTTCGTTGTCAAGTGGCCTGAGAACTTCTCCAATGATCTGGCCAACACTTTGCAGAGACTTCAAATCATCTTCCGTCTTGTTAAATTCTTTCTTTGCAGCTCGCAAATTCTCCCTCACTGAAAATCATAAATCAAAGATAATTTCTCAAGAAAACGCAAGACAATCAAGAATTTCAGCTTATATTATCACATATCACAAGAAAAATAGAAATGTAGCAAAATACGCAAACTCATTTCCCATAACTTCCTAGAAATGTATCATCTCCACAAACGTTTTTCAATTCCCAAATCATCCCCATCTTTCCAATACCCACACGAATCTACACGAACTTTCTCAGGGACCAAAAGTTAAATCGGGGGCTGAATTACAACACTCTAAAACCAAGATGCATAAATCTCGTAGTCCATAAGACTTCCATTTCCGAAGAGCCAAAACCTTTAGGAACGACTAGAACCAGAATTCACAGAGTACAATAAAAACAGGAGCGGATTATAAAGTTGGGTATTGAGGGACAGACGAGATCGGACTCTGG